TTTTATATTTCTTTTCTCAACACAAACAAAACTATCGAAAGGTCAGTTATATCTGTCTAACGTCCATTAAACTGCCTCGAAGCTTACTTATAGGATCCCCGTGTCCGCCTCCACGCTCGCCTCCTCCCTCGGGGACCCTGAAGGAGGCCGTTATTATAAGTTCCTAGCGGGAGATAAATTCACCATTTACTTTCTATATATCCCTACTAGCTCAAGGACAAAGGTGGTACTCTCACACTCGATATATGGCTTAAGCCATCTCTATGTAACCAGCCTACACGCCGCTAACAACATACCGGTCAGATATCTGCCGAGCAGAAGAGGGGCGGGAGACGGAGTATCCTGCATAGCTCGCTTCAGTCCTACCAGTACTAACATCGTGTGTGTAGATTAGTTGGTCGTGATGATCGACTACCTTGTTATAGGTGCCTTCCGCGCCTCAAGGACCCCTTGGAGGCCTGTAACAAACCATGAAAGCGTGCCCTATCGATCCTTGAGTCCTCGAAATTTGAGGCTAGAGATGCCGGAAAAGTTACCACAGGGATTGGCCTTGGCCACGCGGTTTTCGGATTTTCTACTTCAAAAAATACACCACGTCTGTTCCTGAAGGTTGGCTAGATCCTATGATGATACTGAGGGAAAAACTAGAACTATGCTTGACGGCTGTCCAAACAAACTTTATCTTTTATATCACCGCGCATATTCTCTGAATTTTCTGCCGATTGGTGAGTTCCCTTTACATTCCTGTTTATCAGATCGCGACTGAACAAATTAGGCTCCGCCGTAGAGAAAGAATATTATATTGGTGGTTCCCACGCAACTCTTTTCAATCTCACGCAAGCACTCACCCACCCTCAGGCTTCCCCCCCCCCTCTCTCACTCAGTCTGCCTGTGCGATGTCGAGACTTTCCATGAGTTAGATCTGCAAGTTTTCGCTTGCTTGTCGAAGTATACATCACTTCATGAGAAATGACAAGACAGACTACGGTACTCGGCTAGCTCAATTTTGGTCAAAGCACTTTGATACAAGCTTTCCAGTCCTTATCTATATTGGTTTAGGGAAAGCTATTCAGGGAGGCATCCGAACACGACTTCAAAGCTACAAGTATAATCCCGTCGCTACTGCCCAAACAATCAAATATGCACTCACTCTCGATAAAGCATTAAATAGCACAGATATGGCTAAGGCAAGTACTTCTAAGCCTGAAGCAGCAGCTGCTACAGGGGGAGGCGGACAGGACCCGAACCGTGGCGGAGGCCGTGACGGCCACGGGGGCGATCATGGTCGCGTCTCTAAGAAAGTATGTATATCATGGAGATGGTAAGGAAAGCTCACCCAGAAAATTGATGGCTATACTATCGAACGCCGGGAAATTTTGACCTGGTGCCCGATCCCACCCTCATCCGACGCTCCACTGCTCCGTATTGTGGTTATTGCCTTCGAATCCGCCTTCTCTAGTATCCTCCAAGCGTATTCCAGCACAGTCAAGCTCTTCGATTATTCTGACGTTTATCCCTGGTCCTCGAAATTATTTCAGTGGAATGGTCTATGTACTCATAATCCTATGCTTGATAATATTCGCGGAAATACTGTCTGGCTATCTGAGGATCAACTGGAGAAGATTGCAGCTACAAAAAAAGAACTGGGGTGAAGATTGCATGAGAGCGATGAGCAATACAACACGAACAGTTCACGTTGTGCGTTCTGCGTCTGACACTACGAGCCCTCCAAGTTGGTCGCCCTGAGCTAACCCTGAATCATTAGCTCGGATACTTGCCCATCATTCGGTTTATTCGGTCAATTCTGTTCGAAGTCGCCCAGAATTTTATCCTACCCTTTGACGAGATTCAGAATCCCAATCAATGAGTCACTCAAGCACACTTGGAAAGTGATGATTCTCAGACAAGAGAATTTTCCCGTCGATTTCTATTGACGAGAAAGGCTATGAGAAAGTATATTCGAGAGAGGATTCGACCCCTGAATCCGAGACCCAAAAGACCATGAGAAATGGAAAACGACCATATTCCCAACACTTTACCTGAGGAAGACGATATCGACGATTTTACATGGAAACCGGAGGAGCATCTCGATGAAGCGGATTCCGCATTGCTGCTGAAGGCGAGGAGAAAAAAGTGTGGGCCCAGCAGCTGAATATACGATCCTAGGAGAGGGACAAGGACAGAAAATATTTCCTCGTCGAAAGAGGCCAGTGAAGAGATAGCCTCGGTGAGACGGGGATGTGATCGAGTAGCAAGCTCTATGAGCTGTGAAACGACGCGAAGACAGAGAGAGAGGAGATAACGCTGACTCGATGGAGAGAGGAGCTGGAGAAAGAGAAGAGGGTCATGAAGAAAGGCATGGAAAGAGAGAAGAAGGCGCTGATGGGGGCCAAGATGGTCTTACCCGGAGTAACCGTAAGTTGAGGGAGCTGGCCCCCTGCAAATGACAACGGCAATGCTAATACCTATTAGTACCTCGATATTCCCGCCATCCGCTTAGAAATCCAGAATTTGAGCCAGCAGGGGGATCTCGCAACGATAACGAGGGCGGGGAGCGGTAGTGAAAACCCACAAACCTACATAAGGAAGGGGTCAGACATTTGAATGCAGCCCTCACCTTATCCGAGTCATAGAGATCGCATTTTTAGAAACTAACAGTGACCGGTATCATTTACCTAATGCTCCCAGTGATAAGAAAGCGCATACGACCCTGCTGGGATATATTTCAGCCAATTTCGAGTGGTGCCGGCTTTTCTGTATCCGATATCTCAGAAATCCGAGGTCCACAGGGTGACTGCTTGAAAGAGATGGCCTCTCGCGCCTTTTAATAGAAACTGTCAACCTCCAAGAAAAAGGCCGTGTTGCGAACGAATAGCTCAATAGCACTGTCACCCCTTTCTCATACCGGAAGGAGGACTAATGCATCTTGAAAGATTTTGCTAATTTTTATATCAATTTATAGAAGTATTTATTGATCGGAGAATCAAATTTCAACACCGTCACTGTTGTTAGCAATCACTACCAAGAACGAACAATTTCACGCGTCCGGGAGAACATTACATGACTACCTACTATTGCGATATCCCATGATCCAAGAACCCCTCGTCCCCACCCAGTCACAGTCAGGAAATGGCCTTTGATACTCAGAAGATGAGTAGGTACCTGCATCGCGTGAGGGGGTGACAGGCTCACCTCGCACTGATCATCATGCTAACCGTCGGCCTGCCCATTCGAGACACGGAGCTATCCAGATTGAAGATAGCTAACGACGGTGTGTCGCTGCGCAATCTTGTTATTCATTCTGACTATCTGGTCGTGGTTGCGAACTACAACAAGAAGGAGAGCGTAACACACACGTCAATGGTCATACCAAGATATTTACCAAAAACAGTCGGCAAGGTCCCCTATCTTGCTGCTTCTCAGACTGGGAGCAGTTCGCCGAGAAACATCACTGATACATAGGTCGTGGCCGCTCGCTTTCTAAGAGAGTTGCAATGAGGTTTGAAACTATAATTTGGTCCAACAGGCCCTCCTTGGAAGCTACCTCGGATCACGGCGCCTCTTTCGGGAGGGAGGCGAATGGGTGGTGCCACCGGTCTTTGGTGTGTGTTAGTTCTCGTCACTCAGGTCAACAATATGGCGTCCAAGTTCGGTCCCAAATGCCACCAGGATTGGTTTGACCCTCGAGATCGAGAAACTCTGCTTTCGCAAAGGGCGATGATGGCAAGAGCCAGGCGCAATCACACTGGCCATTCTTTCAATGGTCATAGATACAACCCCTTCATTTGGCCAGGGGCCAGAGTCAAGCTACGCACTGCATAAGATATGGCGTTAGGAGTTGCGTGGAACTTGGAAAAGGGAGGCCTAGAAAAATTATCTGGGCACAAACTAGAAGCCAACGGCAGCAGTCCTCATCGAGGATGCATGGGCGCCCTCCGATATCTGGGGTTTGAATTTAAGCAAGGCGTTTTAAGGGGGTCTGACTTCACCTTCCTGCCTTCACAACATGATCTGCTCCCGTGAGACTCCGACCAGCCCTCAGTATAGTAACTTTCGAGGATATTATCTCCTGTAAGTGACCCTAGAATATACCTTTGTGCCACAACCTGAATGACAGACCGCGACCCCAAGCCGGGGTTTCCCCTATCAATCTCTCTTTAAACGGAGATTCAAAAACGGACCGCCTGTTAAAGTGCAGAGGCACTCTCGTGTTGGGAGCCAGCAAGTGTCGAAGCCTGGGGATTCCTGTGCTCGTTGTCGAGTTGCTGCACTTTATGGAATTTCAAGAACGTGAAGGAGATCGTGGATCCGGAATTCAAGGACATTGTAAACCTGTCAAAAGAGGCGGATAACCTGTCCCGACATTACCTGAAGGGTTTCAGAGGGTGGAAGGACTAGCGGGAGGATATAAAAGCCAAGGGGAAAAGGGACCGGGGGCTGGCCGCCATATCGATCTCGGACCTTTCACAAACGTCAGAATTGAACAGCTGTCTATCCCAGACAGGAGTGATGAGGAGGCTGCAGCATCTCCAAACGAAAACGGAAGGCCCCCCCCCGACCGATCCTCGTACCCGGCCATTTAAGAGGCGGGATAAGGGCCCACCTGGAAGGTGGATATACTGACTGATCTGAAGAGCTCGAGAAGAGACAAGACTTGAGTGTCAAGAAACTCTACTGTCGTAAAAAGATAAGCAGTCCTCGTGCACCAGAAGCATCTCTCATTATCATCAGTTCATTCTGGTCAATAACTAGAACTCAGTATACCGATTCCAATCAATCAATGAATGATGTTTTACCTTTGTTGTGTACCCGAAAAGAACCCCCTTCAGGGGTAAGTAACGTAGCCTCCATATTATTCTTGCCTTTGCGTACTCCAAAAATAGAGGAAATGTCTTTTATCGATAAAGGCTGCTTGCTATCCCACACTCGTTTGCCCTCGTCTGCTTTGAGATCTGTAGTCGCTCTTCTCTACGATGAAGAGCAAAAAAAAAAGAATAAATTGATCGACGCAGGGATCGAACCTGCGACATCTCGCGAACATTTCACTCTTTAAAGAGAGGTCGTCAATGTAAAGCGAGCGCCATAACCACTAGACTAGTCGACCAGTTTCGGTGACTAATTTTCTCAGCGTAGGGATATATTAGGGCTCCAAGGCCCGCTGACCTAACAATCCAGGGACACCATCATAGGATTTTATACTTCAGAGAACTATCAAGAGCGTCCTTGTTCTGTTATTGAATAGAGGGACATGGAGCTTCAGACCGATAGAGAGGGAATAAAATCGCAAGAAGTTCGCGCTACGTTTCTGCTCTGAGGAATTACCAGCGGGACATTTATTTGCTACCTACCTACTGCATTCAACCAACGTCCTGTCATTAATATACAGGAGAGTAATCCTCGGTCCTCCTTTGACCTCAGATAGAAAAGATGCCGTGCCACGATCACGGCCATAGCCACGATGACCATGGTCACCATCACGATCATGACCACGACCACAGCAACGATGTGACACCAGCCCTACAGTCAACTTTATACTCCCAGCTCGACTTCGACGGCATCATCACCCTGAACGAAGCGGAACCGCAATCCGGCACCGCGATCGTGAAGAAAACATGGGCTCAGCGATTGGAAGATGAGCCCGAACTCAAGAGCGATGCCGACGAGCAATTGCTCATGCATATCCCGTTCGTATCTGTCTTATCTCTCTCTTATCTGCCCCTCATTCTTCGACCCCGCCATCTATATCTACATCTACAATCAAAAGCCGCAACCTAACAACAAACAACTCTACAGCTTCATCTCCCAAGTAAAACTCCACTCCCTCCTAATCTACACGCCCCCAACCCCCTCCGCCCCCAAAACCGTCAAACTCTTCCGCAACCGCACAGACCTCGACTTCGGCACCGCTTCCGACCTCACCCCGACCCAAACCCTTGAAGTCCCACAAACCCTCACAGGCTCGGAGAGCGACGTCCTGGAGCTCCCACTTAACCGCGCGCACTGGAATATGACTACGTCGATCACGTTATTCTTTGAAGATAACTGGAGTGATGGCGAGGAGGAAGAGACGAGGGTCGGGTATATTGGGTTTAAGGGGCAGTTTATGCCGTTGAATAGGGAGCCTGTGAGCTTCTTGTACGAGGCAGCTGCGAACCCGAAGGATCATGTTGCGATTGCGGGTGTTGATGGCGTGGGGAAGGTTCTGCCAGGCCAGTGAGGCAGTGATGGGTAATACTGTTAGGTTTGTACGCGAAGATACCACGACACGGATGACTATAGAGTTTAATGATTGATGATTGCGGCGGGATCGGGTCCATAGTTTCAACGGTATTGAGGGTATCCAATTGGCAATAGCTGCAGATACCAAGTAAAGTAATCCTACATAAATCCTATATCCCAAAGGGTTGGAACTCCGTCTATCCAATTCTTCCCAAACGCCAATATGCATCGCTATGCAAACCTCCAAAGTTTACAAGTAAGAAATTAAACGCCAACACCATACAGTTAGTATGGCCAACTTATATATCAAGCTCAAGCAGCTAGCGGAGTAGCTGCAGCAGCAGTTGCCCTCGCCTTCGCCCGTGCCTTTGCTCTCTCTTTCGCCTGTTGTTCCTTTTCCTCCTTCGTAGCTCCGGGTAACGGGGCTGCTGGGACATCTGGTAATCTGACTGTCCCGGCAACCTCCCGCTCCAGAGCGTCCAGCTCGTCCTCGACCTCGTCCTCGTCTTGGTTGGACATTTGCCCGCCGAGCATTTCGCTGATTTCCTACATCCCAACCCACCCATTAGTTCTACAGCCCCAAAGACAAACAGTAGCAAAAGCAGCGCATCCGCATTATAAACATTACCTGCTGATAAGCCCTCGCCTCCTCCGACTCCCCCATCAACTTCTCCACCCCCTCCAACCCCCCCATCTCCTTATGAATCGCCTTCAAAACACTCGTCCCCTGCTGCAACCCAAACAGCACATCCTTCTGCACGAGCGCAAACTCCACACTACCCGTCAACCGCTCCAGCTGCTCCAGCTGAGCATCCGTCTTCCCGAGTAGTGACTCTTGGTACTTTTTGCGCCGGAGGGCGAGGAGGGCGCGTGACTTGTCGCCCTTTGCGAGGCATTCTTTCGCGATGGCGGTTTCGCGGTCTGTGATTACGGTGATGCGTTTTTGATATTGATGGAGTTTGTCGCGTTGGTTTTTGAGGTCGAGGATTGCTCTGGAGTGGGTTTGAGAGTGATTGTTAGCAATGGTCCGGTTCACAAAGGAGCTGTCTCTCGTCGCGTGATGAGATGGTTCGAGGTTCCAGAACAACGAATATGGGGGTTTTTTGGTGTCAATAAAGAAGTTGGAGATAGAACTTACTTATCCTGAGCTGATATCCTATGTGTACTTGGAGTGTTCCCCATTGTCGGAGCATATTTGTGTTCGAAAGATTTAATCAATCAGTCAAGTTGGAGAAAGGCAACGACGATCAGCGTTGAAGGTGTGGTGGTGTATTCGTATTTCAGGGAATCTTACACAGCAAGCTTATCGATAGTGAGATTACGTCATCTATCCCAGAACGTTCAGGAGAGAAAGAAAGGAGATCCAATTCTCCATGGATCTGCTAGACCGTCGAGTTTCACGAAAACCTGGGGATATATTGCATAGCGGCATATGATAATAATGAAACTGTCCTGGTTGTTATAGATAGAGTAATCGGAAAAGGGAATACTGGAGCAAAACGGCGTTTTTGTTCCATCCATTGAGGCTAGTATGCTATCCGATTCCCGGCTCTAGAGCCCCGAAAACCTCCAAGCGGGTTGCAGATATCGCATGTGGAGCAGTTGGCGGGCATGGTAAGTCTATAAGTAGCGTGGACCTCCTTGCCGGTATGTAGGGCTTCCTCTAGAGTATAGCATCCAACCCCCCTTGCATTCTGCCTCCGTCAACCCGGCAGACCATCCTATCCTAAATCCGAACCACCTTCCATTTCCTATCCTTAACGCCGTGTTTGTACCCCATATCTCATGGAAGTGCATAGCCCCGCTGGTTCCTCGCTACCTGAAACCTGATTTCTCGGATTCGGTGGCGCATCGGTCCACCGGGATGCTTCTCGACTGTCTCCGGGGGAAAGACTGGTTCTCTTCTCCTTGCCGTCGGCTAGAGCTTTTGGTTAAGCCGTACGAAATGTACCCTAGAATAACGACTCTAGCGTACTAGTGTATCGTAACGAGTTGGGCTGAGTAGCATTAACCTTGGATCTCGGGATAGTTATGCCTTGTGTAGCCTTGATGAGAATAAGAGAAACGGTCTCTGTTCGGGAATCTGGGCGATTGTATGGAATTTTCCGTGTGTATATAGGTAGTACTGTCTGTCCCTTGTCGATGTTTTGTTGGAGAGATGATAGCGCTATGAAGGCAAAAGTGTGTTATGTCAAAAGCAGTATCAAGGGTTTTGATAAAGTGATAAAAATAAAACCCAAAAAAATAATGGGGGTATTGGGGGGGGATTGGAGGGGGGAATTGCTTACCTTTCCCTGTCCAGCAGGGCACCTACTGCGATCGCATACCAATTGTTCTCTACGGATAGCCAGTAACGGTAAGACCTGAATCGCAGTGAAAGTGCCCTCACCACTTACAGTGGGTGGGATATGGAGCGCAGAGAACAAGCGCCTTAACCACTTAGACCACATGGGGTTGTTGAAGTAAAAAGAAGGGAACTTCATTCAAATACACCCCAAAAATAAAAACAAAAAAAAAAGGGAGAGGAACGCCAGTGTCGCGTCTCGAACTCGAAGGTACCACGTGATATGTTATGACGGAGGATAAGGATCTCGGGATGTGATTTGCTCTGGAGGTAAATGGAATTCGTTTTATTTCTTGACTTGGTAGTATTCGGGAGCGTACTCTAGGAGCCACGCCTTCTGGATATTGGTTATATCTCGGATATAGGTCTTGTCTCCGGTTTGAAGTATCTCATGAAAGATGACCCAGTCCGCTTTTCGGTTCTATAAAACTGATTAGTAGGTGTTGGAGTGATATAAGACACATTTGGATACTTACAAACATCAACGAGGTTGGGTGAGCATGCAGTGTCAATCCTCCACTAATGGTCTTAAATGTCCCATCAGCCTGCATCTTGGCCGCATGCGCAAAGTAGCCTGCAGTTAGGCATTTCTGTATTTGCTCCGGTTTGCCCGGGGAACTTGCTTGGTGGCGGGAAGACAAGCTTTCGTCGACTGCCATCCCGAAACGTTCCAAGTATCTTTTAAGTTGACCCCTTATGCTCACTGCCTTCACCATAGACTTGTAGTTTAGATAATTGTCCCGACACCATTTCGACTCCTTTTTGCCCTTGGTAATGAATGTTTGGTAAACATTGAGATATGTGAGGTGATCGCCCTCCTCGACAGCGAACTTCCGACGGGCACTCTCGGTTGCCTTTTTCTCCCCGTCATGGTGGAACCAAACAGACCCCTGGAGACTAGTCATAGCAGCAATCGAGAGAATCTCACTAAGGCATCCAAACGAAGGGGCGCTTAGTAGCACTTTTGCCATCATGGGCTCAACAGCAATCTCAGCCATGCGTGTCCCAAGAGGTTTTGTAAGTTTGGCATGGTCATCCACAGCCCCCAGCGAATAGAGAAGCTCAAGAGCCCTTACAACAAGCTCATAGGGAGGCGCGGCGAGAAAGTCGAAACGGGCAATATTATCAATACCCAATGCTTTCAACTGCATGATAACGGGCGCTAGATTTGACCGTTGGATTTCGGGGACAGTCGCTTCCGGTAGAGATTCGTATGACTGTTCAGTGTAGAGTCTGAAGCATTTCCCCGGCTTTGTTCTACCTGCCCGCCCTGCACGTTGGGTAGCTGACGCTTTTGATATTGGCACCGCAGTCAAGACCTCGATGCCGGTGGTTGGGTTGTAAGCACGCAGCTTGGCATAGCCGCAGTCTACAACGTAAACAATTCCTTCAATGGTAACAGAGGCTTCGGCAATGTTGGTGGATACTATAATTTTTCGGGTGTTTTCTGGGGCTGGCTCGAAGACGTAGAGCTGTTGTTCTGTTGTGAGGCCCGCGTAAAGAGGTAATGGAAGTAGTGCCTGAGCCTTGGGGTGGAGCGA